TTTTATTGTTATATTGGTTGACGACCCCTGGAGGTGATCACCAAACGTTCTGCCAAAAACAGCCCGGTGTACCCATCCTTGGGGAAATGCTGAATGAGTGAATTATAAAGAGTTAAAGGCTGAGCCCTGTAATGTCTTGCTCACGCCACTAAGGGAAGCTCTCGGCATCCCCTCTAGAGAGTATTTTGGCCTCTTTTTCAATGCTGGCCAGACATGCGAAAAAGGTGGGAGTAACCACCCTTTACCCCACCAGACGCGACATTGCCGATCGACTGTGATTGCACCCATTTATACTGCTGGGTGGACAGTGACGGCGAGATTTAAGAAGCTTGCCCAGCATTTCAACTGCCGTACGGGAAGATCAAATCGAACGGGTGACCTATTTCATTGCACAGTCAAGCGTGCTCACCATTCATGCCACCAGCGCAGTGTCCAGTGACTAAGTTACAATGATTACAATACGAATTAACGTATGAGTTCAGCTTTATAAAATATATATATTCATCGCAACCAGCTTTGCTATAAAATGAAAATTGTGAATATTTCTAATTCTTGCTCACGTGGGGGGGGGGGGGGGTGGGGGGCGCGGCGGCAGTTAAATGCACAAATAGAAAATAAAATCGTGAGCAAAGACAGTTCGGAAGAAGTGGTGTGGCTCGTGTTTATGAATCGCGTTAAGTGTGTGTATTTAGGGGATTTTTTCTTTTTTACATCTGGTTGCTTTCAACAGACCCGGTTTTTGTAAAATTCTTCTAATCACTCCTATTTGTAACCGCCCGGCCAATTACAAAAAAAAGTACAAACAAGGACAACTTACGGCCAGCGTGCCGGTTATTAGTCCGGCCTACACCCCTGCGCCCCCCCCCCCCCACAATTGCCACCGTCCCACCATGAAAATGGAATGTTCCCGTGGCCTGTGCCCTACGCCCTGTGACCCTGGCCAATGAGGCCTCACTAAACAAGCCATTTTGGCAGATGAAAGTCATTGAATCTGGCTGTTTGCCACGACCCAGGCTGACCTGTCGTTCCGGAATCTTTTTACTCCCCCTTTTTTTTCCGTGCCAAGGCCAAGGCATTCCAGCCTCCAAGTGTCCCCCCCCCCTCCCCCCCTCGCCACCACCCCCTCCAAGTGCCGACCACCCCCACCTCCCATCGCCCGCCACCGCACAAATAAACAAATAAAACCCTCGCAATTAACGAAGCCTACACTGCAACTTGTGAAGAAAGAAAACACGAAATATATTTCCCTAACAGGACCCGGGAGCGAAGGCAGAGCGCGATGCCACGGCGCTCTGCCAAAAGAGTCCTACCACTTTTTCGCGCAGAGCCCTCCATGAATTCCCATTAACTCCCCCTAAATCCAGCAGGCACAGTGCACCACCCTCCCACGAGCACCGCTTTGTGGCCGGTATTGTGATCTGGCTGTGCGGTTGAACGTCGCCCGCGCTTTGTTTTTGCGTTTGGAACCCAACCCCGCGGGCTCATAAAACCTGTCTCTGAAACACAAGGGTGTCTCTTTCGCCTCCCCCGGTAGAGCCCTCCCCCCGTATAGCCCCCTGCTCCCGTCTCCTCCCCCGGCAGCTGTTAACAGTGAGGTTTGGTCAACTTAAGAGTCACCATTTTAGCTCGAGCCAGAAGCTTTCAACTTAAAGCATGGAATCAGTCGCAGATCAATCACATCGGACCTGGCTGTCCCGCTGTATATTTACACAGACTGTGTTTATTCCCACCTCCCCATTGTGATCTCCGGTGGGCCCCAAATCGGCAGTCTTGCTGTGGCAGGAGCACACGCACGTGCACGCGCAGGCCCGTGTGTGTTTGAGAGAGAGAGAGTTGAAGGGTGGGCTTGTCCACGGCCGCCGTATTCTATTTTCTCTGCACTCCGTTTGTTGAGGCAGGCGCTGCCATGCGGGATCGGATACTGGTCGCATGCTTGGCGAACAGTCACCTCATCCCATCCGCCGATAGATATGCCGTTTGAGTTGTGATCCTAGGAGAGACATCTCTTGCCTCCCCCCGTGACCATTCTGTTGCAGTGTCTCAGGAGACACCAATCCCAGGAAGAGCAAGACCTTTGTGATTCCTGACGCCTCGATTTGCTCGGCAAATAAGCAGATAGGTCTCCCTCTTCAACGGCGGCTGAGCCATCGTACCCGCGCTGGGGCTGTGTCTGCACGATCTTATATTTTAAAAAAACTGCTGATGATCACTGAATGTTTGAATAATAATAAGTATGTATATATATTTATACACTGCATATATTTAAAAACAAACTTTGATAATGGCCATGATCAGGAAATCCTCACAAAGTCTCAAGGCTCTTTTCAGGAGGGTCCTGCATTGAGATGTTTGGTCTATGCCATTAATGAGTTTTTTTTATGAGTCAGGAAACCAGAGTGGCCAGAATAAAACCGATATGCACAGATTGATTAATAATCTAATGTTGTACAATCACATCAGTTACCTCACAACCCAAACCTACAACAACCTGATAGTTCATGTTGTCGTGGTATAAGGTAGTGTCCAATCCGAGTACTAACCGAGCTCAATGCCGCTTAGCATCCAAGATCAGGCTAAGATTGGGTACAGTCACGGCGATGCAGTTTTAAAGGCCAAACATTCCAACGCCAGGATCCTCCTGGCATAGTCATGCGACTCATCGAGGCTTTAATGGGCAAGGACAAAACATTGAAACTGCCTTTTGGAACTACGACTCTATTGATACTTTACTTACAAAACAAAATCACGTTGACATTTGTCTCCCGTATAAAACGAAAGGGTGTGGATGCATATTGCTGAGTTCTCATCTGATTAAATACAGGACACTAGAGAAGACGCCGATGTTATTATTGCATAGATTTAAAGCTTTCGTGACTGCAGGGATTGCTCTTTGGTTCTTTCGGTAAAGTCACGTAGAAAGAAATTAAATTATTTAATTTTAATAATTTAATTTAAATAATTTACATAATTTAATTTCTTTCTACGTGACTTTACCGAAAGAACCAAAGAGTTATGAATGTGGTCACATTTTTGTTGTTTACGCTCCACAAACAGAAATCCTTTGAGCGGTACTTGCCCTGAGCGAGCCAGCGTTTCCAAAGTGACGCTACGGGACTGGCGTGCAAGCCTTCCAATTCCTCACGTGCCGAAGCTCAAATGCAAAACGATGACCATTTCTTTCTTCAGCATTCCTCGCGTGTGCCCAGTAGGGACACGACTGCGGCCAATTAACAATTTAATGATATTCTTGGTTCTTTCGGCAAAGTCACGTAGAAGGGAAACGTAAAAAAAAACGCCACTTTAAAAAAAAAACATTTTTCTGTGGTTTTCACACCTGATGATGATTGCTTGTGTTGCAGTCGAAACGTCGTGAGAATTTTATTGTTTTATATTTTTATTATTTTATTGTTTCCCTTCTACGTGAGTTTACTGAAAGAACCAAGAATATGAATCCCTGCAGTCACGAAAGCTTTAAATAAAAATTTAATTTAATGATACCTTAAAAATATATATAAAAAATTTACTTCTAACGAAAATGATTTATTTTTTTATTACAAGTCTCGCCAACTTAAATCCCCTTGGCAAATGTACATGAATCCCATTAATTGCGGTGAGGCATTGGACCGATGCCGAACGCGCGGATCTAGGTGATATTATTTGAACTACGAGAATTACATGAAGGTAACCGGCGAGTTACTACAAAGCATGCACGTCAAGGCTGTCAACCGCGAGACATCACGAGTAATTCATTTCGCGGCGTTCAGACGCAAGCCCTGAACATCTGCGTGCTTAAAAGGACGGGGAGATTGACAGGTAGTCTTTTACCACCCTCGCCTGCCCACCCGCCTTTCCCTTCGCAGCCCCCTGCCGTCGGCCCACCCTCTCCCGCCCCTCAGCCAGAGATTATCAACATTCATTAGGGGAGCCACATGATTGAGCGTTTGAGCTCCGTGCCAGGGCGGCACGTGATGACCGCATGCCGGGAGTCATGCGGCCACCGCTAATCCACGTCGCGTCATCCAGGGCCTGGGCCAAGCCTCCTCGACTCCCACCGCGACCTGCAGCTTTCACTTACACTCATTCTCCTGCCCAATTAGATGCAACTTCCTTCTCCAACCTATGGGCTGGGTCGACGCTTGCGGCTCAGGTCAGGGCAGCAGTCAATAACTCATCATCATTTGCGGTCACATGTTTTAATTTGAACCTTGAATGCTGTGTGCCCTTCGCTACAATGCCATTTATAAAGATATATATGTACAGTATTTTATTTTAAGATTTCAATTAGGTCAAGCGATCGCCCATGATCGACACGGCATGGGGACTTCCTTCATCCAGCAGTAGGTTAACAAAGCGTTGGAAATTATCGTGTTATTTCGATTTCGCTTCCAGTCAGCACAAGGCATGACTGGAGATATTTTGCGAGCGCGCTACATACTGCTGCTTGCACGGTACGTCGGTCGGCTGACAAATCCGACACGACGCGACGCAGATTTAAAACAAAGCGAGTTCACTCAGAGACGGGTTTTCGCTGTGACCTCGAGGAAATAAAGTGATCTGTCACTTATCGTTTCCATGGCAGTGAACAAAAGTAAAAATAATAATTTAAGCTTATATTGCGCCATTCATGGTAATTGCACCTCACAACGCCTTATAATAAATGCATGCATCATCCCATTAATGGACAAAACCTATTTCTAACAATTATTAATGAAATTAAAACCCTCAGAAAATAAAACATGAATAATCAAATCAAGAAGAGGTATCAAAACGAAAGGTATAAACAACTAAAAAGTTATCACAACAGAGGTACAGAAGATTGTGAATGGTACGTAGCAATAGCTCTTAGCTCCTCACACCAGCGAAGGCAATCAGTCCACGAAGAGACATCCCAGAGCACAATTCCCAACTTCCCAGTAATGGCATCACGGGGGCCCTCAGCCTCACATGCAACTCCCTAACGAATTCACGGCGCGTGACGCCGTGGCGTTGCGAGCGCTCACCGGCGTAACGCAGGCGGATCGGCCGGCTGACCAGCGTCCCGTACGGCGTGAGCATCTCGCACGCGTAGTTGCCGCCGTCCAGGTCCTCGTTCCCGGGCGGCAGGGCCAGCGAGCCGTTGGGGAGGACAAGCACGGCCTGGTTCTCGGCCGCCAGCGGGGCCCCGTTGTGAGTCCACGTCACGTTGCCGACGGCGGCGGTGGCGCGGCCGGAGCTGGGACCGGTGGCACCGAGGCTCTCGCCCGTGAGGTGGCAGTCGAGCACGGCCGCCTGGCTCGGGGAAACCACGAGCTCCAGGGGACCCGGGCTGCAGCTCAGCTCCTCGCACCAGCATGCCGTGCACAACCCTGCGAAGCGCACACAGTACAAAGGGTGAGAAAGGGCATTTGTAGAAATACATCGTCGTCGTTGTCGTCCGGCACGGGCAATGAACTGAATTGCCGTTGATCGAGATGCGGTGTGAAGAATCTCCCGGCAACGTTGTGCACAACAGTTCACAACTTTTAATATAAACTACAAACTGTCAGTTATCACACTCGTGCTCCAATGTATTGCGAACATACTAATCGATATCACGCATCGTTAACGACCAACAATGTATGTATGATTCGAGTCACGGTCTAACGTCTCCCTGCTCGAACGAGCAAAGTGGTTCCTCCCATTGACAGCACAGAGTCACTGCATCACGCGCTTTCAGATGCGCTTTTACGGCCGTCTGGAACACTCTTCCTTTTGATATTCCAAAGTCACTGGAGCTGTGCACTTTTAAATCTAGATTGAAACTCAATTTTTATAATTGCTTTTGTGTTTATTTTGTCCTTCCCCTGCACCTCCAATTAGCACGGTCGGCTTCGTACGGTGCGAAAGAAGTTAAACATACATAAAGTCGGTAGTGGAAATTTCACATTCCAATCGCAGGGGCCAATCTCTCCACATGATGACACTGTAAGACCGTTTATACGGCAGTTTGGAAAACGCCAAGGGCCAGTGAGCAGCATTGGGTGAAAGTCGCTCAGGTGTGCCTGGGCGGTATTACCTCCGTCACCTTTGCAATGCATGGCACGGAACGGGGAGAAGCGCCTGGCCGCTGTAATCCGGCACCTCCTCGGCAAGACGTGCCAGGGTTTACATGGGATTTGGGGAGCCAGAAAGTTAAGGGAGGTTGCTGGGTGGGAATGCGGTGAGGCTTTAGGGAAACATTCAGCGCCTGAGACCTAGTCACACCAGACTGCACAGTAGCCGCTTAGCGGTTAGTGGCCTTGAGATCGCGAGCGGAGGCGGGGGAAACCGTTGTAGCAATGCGCGCCGAGCACAGCTTCAAGCTCCCAGAGTGCTGAAGCTATGGCTGTTGCACAGTGTAAGGCGATTAGATCTCCGAGCCAATCAAAATGCCTTCTAAAACTATCGTAATTTAGTGCGGATTACTTGAAAAATATATAAAAGTAAACTGGAGGCTTCTGGTAATGATATGAGAAAAGTGACATTTTGTCGTATTATTCGTTAAAACGTACAATGTTGGCTTACTTAAGGGTCAAGATGCCTCCTTGCAAAAAGAGAGATTGCACCTCAACGGCTGTTGACTATCTTTGAGAAAAACAAAATAATGAAACAATGCAGATTAAGTGATTTTAAGGTGGATTTTAACAAAGAGGAAATTTGATATTCATAAATATTTACATTTTTTTACGCGTCCCTGCATTTTCACTTTGACGGCACTTTTGGGCTTCAGTATTTGCCATCGTTGCTCGACACGGAAATTGCAACTTTGTGAGTTGTTCTCAAACAGCCCCGTGCCCTCTCCCGCGACCCTCTCGCTCGCTCTCCACGGGCGAGCCGTCCGCTCGGCTTTTGCCAGGAGGAAAGCTGCGACGTTAAAGGTGCTCAGGACGCCACCTCCAAGACGGCCGGTTGGTTACTCACGGCCCCTCTGTAATGACAAGCCCAAGGTACGACCCGCGGTGGGTCAGCCCCCACGGTACTGCTCAGATGGGTAGCAAATCTGCTCAACTCACAGAGGAGCGTGAGCCAGCGCTAACAAAAAATGTACGGCTAATGGATATTATTTCCTGAAGAAACACGCAACACGGGCATCGTGTAACACGGTGTAGGGAGACCACCTAGGTGCTGGCTCTGGCGTGGGATATCTGGGGAAACATTTGCGGTGGTAAAACGGCGTCTGCACACCCGAGTCTAGAGATAGCTTCTTCCCCCGTGCCTCGCACGGTGATAGCCGTAAAAAAAACACAGTGGGACCGACTGTAGAGGAGGAATGCAACCTTCACAGCCGACCGAAAAGTGCGGTGAAGTGCGGAGAAAATGTATCCGGACGACACGCATCGAAAATACGACGCTTCGAGCTCCCTCGTACGACCCCGGGGGCGTCTCGTGGTTTCAGTTTCACGCGTGCTGGTGTCATGGTCCGAATTTGATCGATTGTCCGGGAATTACTTAATCGGGGGAAAAACTACATCGCCTCCTAATGTCCACTTGCAGGCCGGTGCTGCGTCCACCTAGTAATGCAGAGGGACAGTTTTCACCCGGGGTCCCCCTTGGATAGACTGCCACAGGGCGTCTTGAGATGCGCCGCATAGGAGGCGTGATGTAGATATTTAGTGATGATGACGATAGGTTATGGTGACCACTGAGCAAGGACGTCCAATAAAGACAGACGTATTCGCAATGCTTTTGACAGCATCGACATCGGCGCAACTAAACCATGTCACCCTCATCATCATCAGAATCACAAAGTCGACGAGGACCCTGGCGTCCAACCAGACAATCGTCCTCGGGCGACACTGTCGGCCACGTCGAGTCTCAAGCCGGTGTCTCAGCGAAATTGTCACGCCCATGTGTCCCTGGGTTGGCCCACAGAACGACGCCACGAAGGTGATGGACGGATGATCGCACGTGGCCTGGGTGGCGAGCCGCGAGCCGCGGTTCAGTAAGGCGCCACCACCCTCTCAGGGCAAATCCACTGGCGGGGAATGCGATAGGGTGCCTTGGCGGAGATGGGGCAGTGGAAAAGAGGCAGCGGTGGCTTTAATAAACCGATGCCTTGACCGAGTCACCCTCTTCCACACGTGCACGTGGGTGCCACGAGCCCCACAAACCTCCACGGGCCCCGCAAAGTCGTTGCTTTATGAGCGCGCGGGAGCCGCCTGACGGCGGGGCCCACGGCCAGAGCCACCGCAGACGCATACTTGACCCTGGCGAAACTAAGCAGCGTGGAGGTCGTAACGAATACGAGAGAGGGAAAGGAAAACGCGTTTGCACACAAACCCTGTCAAAATACACCGTGGGCAACGGCCGCTAATGTGGTCCCGCTCGCATTCGTTTATTTAACATTCAGAATTCTTTATTTATTTTCGGCAGCCTTGAATGAGGACTGAATTTTTCCGTCAGGTTGTTGACGAACGCGAAAAATAGCGAGGTATGCAGCAGGGTGAATGTAACGAGTTTTAGATTTTTTCTTATGTTTACCGAATTACCGTGACTCGTCGTTTTAATGTCAACTGTCTCACGTTCGTGTTGATGGCAGGTTTACAGTGTTAGACCTTTTTTGCCAGTTTGTGTATGCGTTTGCATTACGATTTTGTTGTGGTCCAGGTCCCCCATGACGAAAGATATTTTTGATCTCGGTGGGCTCTTATGAGGGTCAAAGTCAATGCCACGTTCGTCGCAGGATCATTAGAGGTGACAATAGCTTAGAGAAGCCTTTGTCCAGCAGTAGACTGACCATGTCTGAGGCCGATGATGATGATGATGGTCATTATCACATTCGTATAGTCGCACACCTACTACAGGACTGTGCAATTTACAACATCGGCTCGGGACCGCCCGAGCCAGTGGATACGAGCACATTGGCCCGCGATCGCGTGCGAAGTGGGAGACACTTTGACTTCGACTCGGATACGTTCTCCCCAAAGATAACTCTCGCAAAGTGGAGCGAGTGGCAAAGAGTAACGTGGGGGGGGGATGGGGGTGGACAAAATGGCTGGCCGAGGTGCCATGTGCGCACAAATTTCGCGTGCATCCCACAGGGCGAGGCGGCCGCCCGGCTCGCGCGAGTTTTGCGCTCTGGGGCACGGGAGCCGGATGTCGGCGATGCATGATTTAGGAGCGCGTGAGCCCTCACCCCGTTTCCATTACCACGAGCACCAATAAGGCCCTGTCCTTTTTCTCCACACTTTTGACCCCCCCCCCCCACACACCCCCCACTGACATCGTTAATCTGCCAGGGGCTGCACGGATCCAGAGAGTGCGCGGTCCGTGGCCCGGGCGCTGAGAAGCGTCGCTGCTCAGCGAGGGGCCGCGGGGAGGACTCGGGAGGCAGGATGGGGTGTCCGAGGGCCAGGGGCCACGGTATTGGAAGAGTGGGATGAGGATGGGAGTTAGAGGAGGTGGAGGGGTACGGGAGGGAGGGGGAGGCACGGGACGGGGGGGGGGGCAACAGGGCGAAAGGGGAGACGGACAAGGTGTGGGGGATGGGAGAGGCGATGGATCCGGCGGTTACCGCTACCGCTGCCGAGCAACATCAAACCCTTCCCCTGCTCTCCTTTGACACCTTTTAAAGGCATCCAAGCAGAACTGCACGGATCCCTGCAGAGCCTGGCTGCGCCGAAGCAAAGTAATGGCCGAGACAAGAAAGCGTTCCGTTGTGCTGGGGAGAATTCCAGCGATGCCCCTTCCCCTCGCAATGCTCCGCAAAACAAACCCCGGCCACCAGCAGCAAGGGCTCTCTCTCTCTCTTCCACCCGTATCGTTTGCCGACGGAAAAAAATCAAAGGGGACAGAGGTCTCTTTTTTTTGTACCCCCACCAGCCACACCAGTCTTTTCGTACCATACTTCTCCTCCTACGGCTCCCTCTCACTTGCATGGGCAATGTATTTATCCTGGCCGGAGAGATGCTGCCGGGGCTCACGACTCGTATTTATGATGGTCCCCGCGTGAAAATGTTTGACGAATTTATTTTTTGAGCATTGTTTTGTTCGCGTCACTTGCCCCAGCAGAAGAGAAAATAACTTTACACCCCAAACTTTGCACCATCCACAAACTCCACCGCCCGAGTTGCTGTGGCACATGCACGCATACATATGCATGGATCTACAATGGGCCTGGCTCTACCCATTCTGATTTCCTCTCACCTTCTCCCTGTGTATTTACTCCAGGCTGGTATTTATTCGTCTTCTGTTGACATCCGCCAGCTGCCCAGGGAGAGCCCTGCCAAGCCACAAGGCCGGCCGCCTGCCTCCGCCAAACTCCGTCACCAGCGGCTGGAATCACCCCGTGCTTGGCACAGCAGAGAGAGTTTCTGCCCCCCCCCCCCCATCACATTCCCCCTTTTCA